ATCCAAGCTAGTTAACATGTAGTATAATCATGGTTTCAGGAGTAGAATTTAGTGATTCATCACTTACATATAACTCCCTCAGCCCAGCAAGTGCCTTCTTTAATGCCCATCACTCATTTAGCCCATTCCCCACCCAACACCTCACCAGCAAGCTTCAGTTTGTTCTCTGTATTTAAGAGGCTCTTACGGTTTGCCTTCCTCTCTGTTTCTGTCTTATTTTCCCCTCCCGTCCCCTATGTTCATCTGTTTTTCTTAAATTCCACATAATGAGTGAAGTCATGTTTTGTCTTTCTCTTACTGACTTATTTCGTTTAGCATAATATCCTTTAGTTCCATCCACGTTGTTGCAAATGGAAAGATTTCATTCTTTTTGATAGCCAAGTAATATTCCATTGCATATAGATATATACACACCGTGTCTTCTTTACCCATCTGTTAGTGGACATTTGGGCTCTTTCCATAATTTGGCTATTGTTGGTAGTGCTGCTGTAAACATTGGGGTGCATGTGCCCCCTATGAATCAGCATTTTTGTATCCTTTGGATAAATACCTGGTAGTGCAATTGCTGGGTTGTAGGATAGCTCTATTTTTAATTTTTTGAGGAACCTCCATACTGGTTTCCAGAGTGGCTGCACCAGTTTACATTCCCTATTTTTTCTTTTCTTTTCTTTTCTTTTCTTTTCTTTTCTTTTCTTTTCTTTTCTTTTCTTTTCTTTTCTTTCCTTTCCTTTTCTTTTCTTTTCTTTTCTTTTCTTTTCTTTTCTTTTCTTTTCTTTTCTTTTCTCTTTTCTTTCCTTTCCTTTCCTTTCCTTTCCTTTTCTTTTCTTTTCTTTTTCCTTTCCTTTCCTTTCCTTTCCTTTCCTTTCCTTTCCTTTCCTTTCCTTTTCTTTTTTCCTGCCTTCCTGCCTTCCTTCTTTCCTTCTTTCAAGAGAGAGGGTGAGCACAAGCAGGGGAGAGGGGCAGAGAAAGAATCTTAAGCAGGCTCCATCCACACTGAGTGTCGTGGGGCTTAATCCCACAACTTTGGGACTGTGACCTGAGCCAAAATCAAGAGTTGTTCACTCAACCATCTGAGCCACCCAGGTGCCCTTCTAAATTGGATATTTAAATCAAAGACTTCCAGTATGTGTTGATAAATGTAACATATCACCTTGATGTGTAAACTAATACGGGGTATTTCGTGTATCTTTCCCATCATTCATTCACCAGAGGTTTGTATTTACGGTCTACAGTGAAAACCCTAGAGTTTTTTCCAACTTTGTGTAGAAAAAACTGTGACTAGAGTTTTTTCCAACTTTGTGTAGAAACAGATCTTTAAAAATCATTCACAATGTTTTTTTTTTTTTTCTTTGAGTCAGTCTGGATTTGGTTCAGATCTAGTCTCTACCACTACTGTAAGTAAACTGACCTCTCTGACCCTGGGTTTCTTCATCTGTAATATGATGGTGATGATCATACCTACTCCTTAAAGAGTTATTGTCAGGTGGGGGCACCTGGCTGGCTCAGTTGAGTTTACAACTCTTGATCTCAAGGTTGTGAGTTCAAGCCCCGTGTTGGGTGTAGAGATTACTTAAAAATAAATTCTTAACAAAAAAGAAGAAGTTATTGTCAGGATTAACGTGACATAAAGAATGAAATGCTTGGCACAGTGCCTCTCAAAGGGCAGAGTACTCAGTAAATGTTAAGCTATGAATGTTAGAGAAACTAACATGGAAAATATGAGCATATTTGACTGAAGCTATAAGAGGCGATTTAAAACTCTTTAACAGAGAAAAACGCTGGGTTTAAAACTTCACAGTATGGTAAACACACTGAATCTCTTCAAAGTCCTTTGCTCCAAGAACTTCAATTTACTTTGCCGCTGACTTGAAGATTTCAAGGACTTTGCACATTTTCTTTCCTGTGAGAAATGCATGAGTGTTATTATAATTTTTGGCAGGTGAGTTTATATTTACTTGTTTTTATTGGCACTAAGGAAGATATTTGGCCTCAAATGGAAGCTGAGTGATAGAAACACTGCTTGGAAAAGAATGTAGTATGAGCTACTTACTTAACGTCAGACCTGGTAAGCAGTCGAGTCTTCCCCATCTTCACTTGGTACACAATTATCTGCTTTTAGATGAGTCCCAGAAATAAGAATATGGTATTTTGTAGGGATGTTTTTGTTTTAGTAAATGGAAGTTGTCTGAGATTTCACCTGGAAATTGCTTATTCTTGTCTTCTGTTGTTAGAGTTTTGGCCTTGAAATGGTACATTTCACTTGTACAAAATGTATTTATCATTATTTTCATTGTTAGGTTGATAACAAAGCTGTGAATATACTCCTTAATTGACCTAAGCTGTAATCTTGGCCGAAGTCATGATTTGGATGACACGTGGAATCGAATACAGAATCCTCTTCACTGTGTTAAGATTTGAGAATGGGATGTGTTTACACCCCTGAAAAGAAAAAAAGCCAACCATGTGTGGGTCCTTAGCATTTGTTCCCTCACTTTCTATAATTAACAGACTGCCGACTACTTGACCGAACAGGGGTGTGCTGTTTGAGTGGCCTGCTGAAATGTTCTTTAGGGAATCAGTGATTGATTTTAAATGTCCTTATTTGGATCTGTGTCACTCCATTCTGTAGGATGAACCAGGAAATGACATTTCAGCGAGCTTATGTTGGGTATAGATTGTATGCCAACAAATCAACGTGGACTAGGTCATTGGCTCACTTGGGTTATGTTGGATGGCTTTTGCAATGAGAAGGATTTTAGTTACGTGTACTTTTTATTGTGTGGCCTCAGAGACCAATGTTACGTATTTCTAGATTTGACTTTCTTCACTAGTTGAGCTAAGCTTGGCACTTCTAGAGTAGATTTAATGTAGTAACTGAACTTGATTCTTGCTGTGTGTTATTTTTAGCATCGATTGTTGCATTCGGTGTGAATTAGTATTTTCTTCAAGCTCTGCATGTACCTCTCAGAGGCTTACTGTTCCGGTTGTATTTGTGACAAGGAAGGAAGGAACTTCTTCATAATTTCTGAATACCAGGTGATATTGTGGTCTAGAGAAAAAAAGAATTGCTAAACTTTGAAGTTCCAAGTGCTCTGGTGCTTCAGAAATAACCACTAGATTTGTTCTAGACCCTGGGTTAGTTTAGTTCGGCAGACGTGTTTTAAGTGTACATGATGTGTGTGTGAAGTGCTTTGTCAGCCCTCGACCTCAGGAAGTACAGAGTCCAGGAGGAGCCTTCCCACTTAGAGGCCGGAATTAGGGTATCATGTAACCAACATGTGCAGTGCAAGCTATGCATGAGGCAAGGTACTTCGTAGATGATTATTTTTATTCAGAGCGAGGCAGGAGAGGTGGGTCTCATGGAGGAGAGGAAGGCTGCCGAGGATTCAGATGGACAAAGATCAGCTCTTGAAAAAGTCCGGTTTGTTCTGTTGGAGGGCATCCTTGGCACAGGGAATGTTATTGAGGAGGCATGAAGTGGCGGGTTGCAGGTAGCTGGGTATTGTGGGAATGTAAATTGTGAGTGATGGGGGGAGGTCATGCTAGAAAGGGGTATGGGGCCTGTGTCTTGAAGCATCTGGCATGCTGTACTTTAGCATGTGGAGTTTTTTCTGATGCCTCGTATTCAGCTTAAAGTAGTTGAAAAGAAGGAAGCCAGGAGAGGGAAAGGAAGGAGCTGGGTTAGCTCTGTCTGGCAGCAGTCTATAGTTTGGGTTGGAGAGTAGTAAAATAGAAGGTGGGAATTGGAAGAAGGTCAGGGGTGAGTTTTAATTTAGTAAGCTGGTTTAACTGAGCTGAGGTAATGAAATAACAGAAGCCTGACGAAGAGTGCAGAAAAGAGGAACCATCGGAAAGGTGGGCTGTGGCGTGTCATTGAGTGTACCTAGAGATTGGTTAAGAAAAGATACAAGAACATAGCCTGGCCTTTGGCCGTGGGCTCTTGATGCAGTCACCAGAAGAAAGTAGAAAGAAGCTGCAGGTGGATTTCAAATATTGGGAAAGATGGGTTCAGGTTTGAACACGTGGAGTTGGGGTACTACTGAATTCAGCAGCTAGGTGGAGATGGCCAGTAGGTGACTGGATCTATGTAGAGATGAGCTCAGTGGAGAGGCCAAGAGGAAAAGTGCAGACGCAGGAATCACCTGTGTTTAAGTGATGCTTGCTGAAGGAGGACACAGGGAGTGGGAAGAGAGGAAAGCCAGTAACACCCCAGTAGTTGACAGATATTCTCAAGAGGTGCATCTGGAGAAATAGAAAAAGAAGTAGATTGGAAATAAGGTGTCGTAGGAACTGAGGGGGGAAAGAAGTCCATGAAGGAGTAGGTGTCAGTAGTGTCCACAGCCAGAAGTCGGGTGAGCTGCTGATTTCATTGACTTTGGAAATGAGATGGTCACTTTGAGCAGTTTGGGACAGAGGAGCATTTCTTCTGGAATGGTGATTTGCATCCTAACACCACCACGTACTCTGTGACTTGGAAAAGCCATTTTACCTTTAGCTCTTTACTAATAAAGAGGCGGTTCACCTCTTAGTGGGTTTCGGTCTGTTATCTCTGGCACCCCACAATTTCAGAAAGGTGCTTTGAGACCCATCAAGGAGATCAGGCGTTTGGTCAGATATTTATTGGGGGGCAGAGGTAGAGGTATTCTACTCACGATTCAAACAAAGCAGCTAGAGAAGCTTTATTTTTTGATCCATTTTATATATTTCACTTTAGTGTAAGATTTCTTTTGGAGAAACACGGTTATTATAAAATAAGAGAGCTGAAAGCTGCTGCCCTACAAGAACCATAAGAGACTTTGATGTGTTAAAAGTTAAATAAGTAATAGCTGATGTTGAAAATTCCTGTACTGGATGAAGATCGTTGTATGTGCTAACTTGCTCATGGTTTGGATTTGATATTTATGAAATAATAACTGCTGTTATTAGGAATGAAGACTGAACTTCTAAAAGCTCTTCTGTATTTTATACTTTGTTAAAAAACTTTTTATGTGTCTTACCAGGTTCTGACTCTGAAGATCTTTTGGAAGAATTGCTCTGTTGTTTGATGCAGTTAATCACTGATATTCCACTCTTGTAAGTTCTGGCTCAGCCAGGATTTGTTTTATCTTCTTTGTATATCGAAGATGGGAATTGATCATGTCAAAGAGTTTGTGGGTCCTGGTGTACTTTTTGTTTTTGTTCGAGAGAGCGAGTATACCTGCGCCCACTAGTGAGCAGGGCAGGGGTGTAAGACTCGAGCCGGGGCGGTGAAGACTCAAGGCCCTCGTGCCCAGCGAGGAGCCCAAATCAGGGCTTGATCTCACAACTATGAGATCATGATCTGAGCTGAATCAAGAGTTGGTCACTTAACTGACTGAGCCACCCAGATGCTCCTCTGGTGTAGTATTTTAATGTATGCCTTTTATGTACGTCTCTGTACATCCGTGGAGTTCATCTGTATCTTTTGCCTAATATTTATACTCTCACTATGCATTATCAAAATAAGGATTTTTGTTAAAGGGAAAATAAACTAATCTTTAGGAATATTGAGCAAATGGTAGGCACAGAATGAATCTCTGTAGTGATATTTTCCAGAGCTCTGTAAACAGGATGTAAGAGAGACTCTAATCCACATGTGGTGGAGGCAGCTAGTTAGCCACCCAGCGTTCTCCCCTTCTTTCTTTCTTCCTGATCTCTTTTGGAGAGGTTGGATTTCCATTTCAGCCTTTTTTGAAGATAGGTGTGGTCCCTGAGATGTAGGGGCACATCTTCCAATAAAACTGCTGGGTAGGGGCACTTGGGTGGCTTGGGTTAAGCGTCCCACTTCGGCTCAGATCATGATCTCTCGGTCCGTGAGTTCGAGCCCTGCATTGGGCTCTGTGCTGCCAGCCCAGAGCCTGGAGCCTGCTTCAGATTCTCTCTCTCTCTCTCTCTCTCTCTCTCAAAAATGAATAAACGTTAAAAAGAAAATGAAAAAAAAAAAAGCAAAAAACTTCTGGGTAAAGCTTTTTAAAGGACACCTGCCTCAGTGAGGAGGTATATCTTTTTCTTGACAGCCCTCTTTCCTGCTATCTGGAATGTGAACAAGGTAATTTCAATTGCATGGCCATCTTGGCATGAGCCAGGAGACCAACAGAAAATTCTGCTTTTGTATCATCGAGCTGTTGAACCAAAGTCATCAAATACCAGTGTCCCCTCTCCACTTTTACCCCCAAACTTCTCATGTGAGAAAAATACTTGTTTATTGTAACTGGATTTCTTTCACAACAGCTGAATGCAATTTCTATATGCTATAAAATGTTACATTTAAAGCAGTTACTCTCAACTTAAAAAAAAAAAAGGTCTCTCTAGAGCCTTACTTTTTTAATTGCCTCTCCCAACTAATGAAATTTGAATACCGCAGATAGACTGAATGTATCTTTATGTACTGTGGCCCTTTGCAAGGGCCACAAATCATTATAATATCTATGAAGTTTTTTACTCCTAAAGAATCAGTTTTCATTCTCTTGATATATCACCCCATTGAGAATGCAGTTTTTAATTTAATTTTTATTTATTTCTGGGACAGAGAGGGAGGGAGGGAGAGGCAGAGAAAGAGGGAGAGGGAGAAGGAGAGGGAGGGGGGAGAGAGAGAGAGAGACAGAGACAGAGACAGAGACAGAGACAGACTCCCAAGCTGGCTCTACACTGATGCAGGGATTGAACTCACGAACTGTGAAATCATGACTTGAGCCGAAGTCCAATGCTTAATATGAGCTACCCAGGTGCCCGAGAATGCATATTTTAAAGGAATTATTATTATTTCTAAATTCATTTTCATTTTTAATTTTTTTATTTTTTTTAAGTAGGCCTCACGCCCAACATGGAGCCCAATGTAGGGGTTGAACTCACAACTCTGAGATCAAGAACTTAGTTGAGATCAAGAGCCAGACACTTAACCCCCCAGGTGCCCCTCAAGATTTTAGAGAAATCTTTACACCCAACATGGAAATCAAACTTAACAACTCTGAGATCAAGAGTTGCATGTTCTACTAAATGAGCCCGTTAGGCACCCCTAAAGGATTCATTCATTCATTGATTCATTCATTCATTCATTTTTTGAGAGAGAGAGCAAACAGGGGAGGGGTAGAGGGAGAGACAGAGAAAATCTTAAGGCTCTATGCCCAGTGCAGAGCCCAATATGGGGATTAATCTCACAACTGTGAGATCATGACCTGAGCCAAAATCAAGTCAGACACTTAACCAACTGAGCCACCCAGGCACCCCAGGAATTATTTTTTAAATAAAGAAAAAGAATTTGAGATTGACCAGGACAGAATCTCAATTAACGTGGCAGTATCATTGGCCCTATGCTGCTTGCCCATGGCCCAAACAGGAAGGACCAGGTATTTGTGAGAACGTGGGCTCCTGGCCTCTGTTGTGCATAGGTCCAGCATCTAGAATTGTAATCTTGATTTAGAAATGACAGCTATGAAACCCTGTTGGGACTTGGTCTGGTGATGTGCAGCTAGGAGGGCAGGGCTGAGGCAACTGAGGAGTCACCGGGTGGGGAAGGGCACAGGGGAAGATGCCCTGTGGAAGTTGAACTCTGTGACAGACACAGTTCCTTGCATTTCTGATGTCCTTTCTTGCTTCTTTTTAACAGATCGTCAATATTATCTGGCCGGGGAGGGGGGGATGGGGGCAGTGTGTGCCTATGTCAATTTTCAGGCACCTTAGGAACTAAACATGGCCCCATGACATGGTTCAGCCCCATTGCACACCAGCAGAAGTTAGGAGGCTACAGGACACGCACCTTCCACTTTTTGCCCCTCCCCTTCTCTCCCTTCCTGGGATGTGGAGGTGGCACTTGGCTCATCGCGAGACTATTATGATGAGTGCCACCTGCGAAGAATAGTGTCCCAGGAGTGTGGGACAGTAATGTTGCTATGGAGCTCTTACACCAGCCCTAGATGGCTTGTCTTTGGATTTCTTCTTAAGTGAAAAAAATAAACAACTTATTTTGGTTAAGCCACTGTGGTCAGGTTTTTATTATGTATGGTCAAATGTGGGAAGGGGGACATGTATATCATCTACTACCTTCTTGTCTAGTACGTGCGATGTTTCAGGTGTTCTTGACTTAATTTTTTAAATGTTTTTTTAAAAAATTTATTTTGAGAGAGTGAGAGAGAGACCAAGCGAGCATGAGCAGGGGAGGGGCAGAGAGAGAGGGAAAGAGAGACTCTTAAGCCTGCTCTGCACTGTCAACGCAGAGCCCTGTGTGGGGCTCAATCTCATGAACCGTCAGACCATGACTTAGGCTGAAACCAAGAGTTGGACGCTTAACCAACTGAGCCACGCCAGGCGCCCCTTGACTTAATTTTTAAAAGTTTCATCTCTATTATGCATATGTCATTACCAAATACCAGCAATTTAGTATCTATCCTCAGTGAGTACATTCTTTTTTCTCCTTTGTTAATAAAATGTCTTGGTGAAGTTAAGGTGGATGGAAATAATAAATCTCTTTAGCTGGTAAATAACCCTTGAATACAGTGAATAGATCAGCCACTTAAACGCTCTTGAGGAGCAAGCAGACAGTGTTGTAATATATCAAACATTTCAGTGTTTTAATGTGTTTATACTTTTTAAATGAACTGAAAATGCACAGACAACCAGATGTCTTATATTATGTACACTCAGCTTGAACCAGCTGCTGAAACAATTTCTTATGATTTAATGTTCTTGGAGCTCCATTCTATGAGAAGGTTTGTCGTGGTAACAGTTTCCATGTGAAACCAAACTACTCTTTAAGTGTTTCATCTACTATAACCATAGTGCAGTGTTGTGGATCAGCTTCTGACTTAAGGGAGAGGGTTAACTAGAAAAGTGGGGGTGCTCTCACACCTGACCATCATCAGCCTCACTGTGAACTTGTCGTGCTTAACACTAGCATGTGCCAGCAGGTGTGCGGCAAGAGGAATGCAGTGTTTTATTTGTTGGTTGGTTTGTTTTGAGAGAGAGAGAGAGCGCATTAGTGACAGGCATACAGAGAGAGAGGGAGAGAATCCCACGGGGCAGAGAGAGAGAGGGGGTGGGGGGTAGATGTGGGGCTCACCTGGCTCATGCTTTTACCTGAAGCAGGCTCGAGTTTGCCCAAAGCAGGGCTTGAGCTCACTCGATGTGGGACTCGAATTCAGGAACTGTGAGATCAAGACCTGAGCCAATGTCAGGTTCTTAACTGATGGAGCCACCCAGGTGCCCCATGAGGAATGTAGTGTTAGCAGCCACCAAGGACAATTCAAAACTAGCTTTAACATATTGAAAGCAGGTGATTACCAAGAGCAGAGATATTTAGAGATCTATAAACTAAGTTTTAAATGGTTATTTATTAGGGGCGCCTGGGTGGCTCCGTCAGTTAAGCATCTGACTTCCGCTCAGGTCATGATCTCAGGGTTTGTGAGTTCGAGACCCGTGTTGGGCTCTGTGCTGATGGCTCAGAGCCCGGAGCCCGCTTTGGACTCTATGTCTCCCTTTCTGTCTGCTTTTCTTCTGCTCACGCTCTTTCTCTCCTTCAAAAATAAGTAAATATTCAAAAAAATTTTTTTTAAATAAATGGTTCAACTGCAGTAGTTTAAATAAACTCGCAGAGGTTGTAGGAATTCACTTGTAATACAGATTGTCTTTTATGGAGTTAGTGGATACTGCTTCTCTGACAGTTGGATATTTTGATAAAATAATTCTGTGAGATAATTAATCTTCAAAGCCTGATTAAAATCACACATCTTCCAGGAATCCTTTCCTAACTCTATACCTCTTAGCATTTATGTATTTAAAATAAAGATTAAGTCATTCACAGGGTCATGACTTGATGATTTTCAGTGTATACTGGGTTGATTCCACTAGGGTTCAGTGAAAGCCTGTGCTTTTTTTATGCCTTCTCTGTGATCTCAAGGAAGTGACTGGGAAGGAATAACTCAAGTAAGATGAAGGTATTTTCCTCAAGACACGAATAGAGAGTATAATACAAGAACGTGGTTTGGCATGACAGAATTGAATGTGCAACACTTAGAATTTGTGGCAATGAATCAGTCCTCACAGTGTTACTGTTGGGGGTT